AATTTATGTTTGGAAGAAATGGTATTGGTATCTACATTGAGGGAAATGTTTTATATGGCAAAAACATCGAACCTGTTGTCACTGTTGTAAATGGTACAAAGTTAAAGATTGAGTTAGACTTTGGTGATGGTACATCTCCTAATTTAAAATTTTTTACTCCAAATGTAGATGATCTTTCACCTGTCAGCTTGATGTTTTCACACAAGTTCAGTTAAATATTTTTTTTAATTTTTTTAAACCAATACACAAGAAAAATAAAATAAATAATTCTATTTTATATTGAAATTTCAGAATTTTAATATTTGTTAGCTATTAATCATACTAATCATAACATAACATAACAGGTTAGAGACTGCCACATTTTAGTGATTTCTTATAAATTTAAAATAATGAAATTTTATGACAAATATAAAATAATTTTATTTTTATAGCTTTATCAACATATAAAATATTTTCACACAATAAATTGAAAATCAAATTGTAATTTTCTGAGTCTCCTTGTTTTTCATATAAATTGTATATTTTTTATATAACTCATACAGCTGAAAAATTTGTTTATAGTAAGTGCTTTTTTTTATTATTTTTTTATTTTTGTTAATGTAACTAGAAGTTCCAACATTTTTTTAGGTATTCTCAGTGTGGAAAGTATAGTGTCAGTGTACGAGTAATAAATCTTTCCTCTAAAACTAGCAATTCAACAATTTATGTTAATCTTACAAATGTGACTGTATATTGTTATTTATCAGAAATCAAGCTTGATTACAATAGTTCAAGTCAACTTGTTATACCTGTTAACAATGAGTTCCGGCTTAACGTAAGTCAGGCATCGGGTTCTTATGTGAACTACACTGTTAATTGGGGGGATGGTATCAGTGAGTTTAGGGACCAAAGTCAAAATTTATTTCTTTTACCATTTTTTGCAAAACACATTTACACTAGAGAAGGTAACTACACTATATCTGTGATTGCAATGAATGCAGTACAGACTATGAACAAATCATTTAATCTTTTCGTGTTTAAATCTTCACAGCCAGATATTGATTTTAATTATGGAACTAAAGAAAAACCAATTAGTATTTTACACATTGTTGATTATAATTTTACAGCAAATATTTCTAAAAAGTTGGACAAATCAATCATTGAAAATGCATCTTTTCAGTGGGTGATGTCAGGCCTGGATTTCGAAGTAAAACTCAGAGCAGTTTTTCTTAATTATCAAATTGTCTATACTTTAAAAAAAAATGAAATTGCAATTGGCTCATATAATCTTTCACTACTGTTTACATATAACAATTTTACCAGTGTTTTTACTGCTTTTTTTTCTGTCTTAAAGATACCCTTGTTCGTTGAAATCGAAGGTGGTTTCTACCGTACAGTTGCTCACAAGAAGATAATAAATAATAACACTGCTTATAATAATTTTAGTATTAGTGCAGAAAAAAGCTATGATCCTGAAGATCCCCAAGCTAAGTTTGAAGGAATATCTTTTCAGTGGAGATGTAAATTAATGAGTAATTTTTCTTCAGGTATCTTAGCAACAACTGATGTTGTGTTTACTTCTAAATTATGTATAAATGATTCTTGGGTTTTATTGGATGTCAGTGGACCAATTATTTTGTTTAACACAAAGATGTTTTTAGTGGGTGAGACATATATGTTTGAAGTTTATGCTACTAAAGGTTTTGGTTATCATCAACAAGGAGGTTCATTTATTCAAGAAATAACATTTAGTGAAAATGTATTTGATGTACAACTTATGTAAGTTTTACATGTTTGAATTTTTCTGTTTTTTTATGTTTACTATATTATATACTTGTGCATATTGTGATTTTTTTAACATTAAACTTTTAATTAAATATTTTAATGGCTAACTTTATCTATTAAACTCTAAATAAAGTTTTTATTTGTACAACAAATTCTTAGTCTGCACAATTTGAGTTCTTTTTTTTTTATTATCTTAAAACGTTTTTTCTTTTTAATTGTTCATTTACAACCTTTAATTTTTTTTTCAGATTTAAAAAAATAATCCAACTTCTTTTCTTACTCTTCTTTCCACCATTTTTTAAGATTTTTGTCATCTTGACAAAAATCTTCTTTTCAAAATTATCTTTAAATCTGAACTAGAAAAAGATGTGAATCATAATGTATCATATCATCTATGTGAATCTATATACTCATAATGTATGCTCATAAGTTAATCAACTTTAAACAAATTTTAACTAAGTTCATAAAATGATGTTTTTTAGAAATTATAGTAGTGATTCTTAATTATGGTTGATAGTGTAAGGTAATGTAATATAATTATGGTAGATAATGTAACATAATTTAACATAATTAAATAATCTTTAATAAAAATAATAATACTTAACATATCTTTTAAATTAAAAAATCTTATAAATTTTAAGATTTTTGGGTATTTAAATTTCTTATTTTAGTTGCTTGATAAACTGTGATGAAAGATTAAATTTTCAACAATCTACAGTTTTTTCATATACTTGTATTGATTGTGAAAGATGCATGTAAGTTGCGAAAAATTTTTAAATATAAGTTTATGATTTTTCCAATGCTTTTATTAACTCGACATCTCTGTTTGTCTGTTTGTTTGTTTGTTTGTCTGTTTGTTTGTCTGTTTGTTTGTCTGTTTGTTTGTTTGTTTGTTTGTTTGTTTGTTTGTTTGTTTTGTTTGTTTTGTTTGTTTGTTCTGTTTGTTTGTCTGTTTGTTTGTTTGTCTGTTTGTTTGTTTGTTTGTTTGTTTGTTTTGTTTGTTTGTCTACAAGTATCAAATCTTGCAATCATTTTTTGAGTCACTTCCTGATGATAGATTTTCTTCATCATTCTGATGATAGATTCTCTTGCTTTATGATAATATTCAATAATTAGTTTTGTAATAGTTTAATTAATTTAGTTAATTTTAATTAATTTTTTTTTTTATATGGAGAAAAGAATAAAAATTTGTTTAAATAAGTATATTGATTGTTTTCGAATTTATACGCGTGTTTAGCATATTTGGATAAGGTGTTGACTTCGTATACGAAACGTCTGTGGTTCAAGACCCGCATCTTCCTGAACTTTTGTTTTTTTTACACACGCATACAGCTGAATGTTAATATAATAAAACATAACATCAAAAAAAATTGATTGCAAAATTTCTGTTTTGGTAACATATAAAAGCATTGGGTTTTAAAAACTCTGTTTTAATTTTACTTGTTTTATATGAATTTAAAAGTTTTATCCTTATTCAACACTTTTTAATGTTTGTAAAACCTTTTTTTCAATTTTTCAATATTTTTTATATATTGGTAAATGCTTTTTTATAAATATTTGAAATAATTAGAATACAACCTTATTGGACAATATTAGATGATCAGGAAAACATCCCAAGCGAACTTTCTCAAAATAATCTATCAACAAGTTTTAATGACACAAGTTTAATTATTAATGCTGGTGTCTTGCTAGAATCAAAAAATTACACTTTTATCTTACAAGTGGCTTGCACTGGATTGTCCTTCTTATCAACTTTTAAAATAAAGAAAATGACTTGCTCTTTGCCACGTCCTGGTGCTTGTTACATTAGGTAAGGTAAAAAAAGTTTTATAAGAATGGTATTTTTTTTTTTATTGAAACAAAAAATTGATAATAAAAAAACTTGTTTTGTTTTTCGTATCTACCATTTTTAATAATATGTTTAGCCCCCTTATTGGATATGCTGTAAAAACAAGTTTTAATATTACATGTGAAGGATGGTCAACTGCAGAAGGTTCATTAAGTTATCTTTTTTTTTATGAAAATGGTCAATATAAGCTCTCAAATAGTAATAGTGGTTATATGTTGCTGAATTCTAAAACTTTTTATCAATCTTATTTAAATAATATTCTTCTTGGAGCTGGCGATGAACATAATAATTATACTGTTCAACTATTTGTACATATTGCTGGAAAATATGGAGCTTTTATTGAGTTCAATAGTATTTCTATTCAGGTGGACAATTTTTTCTTAATACAATTTTTAATAAATGTGTAAATAACTCATATGTATTAATACAGAACAATAAATCATGTTTTAAAAAAATTTAGGTTCTACCAAATCTACAAGAAATGAATTTAACTAATATACTTTCTACTGTTGATAAAAATGACACACAAAAATTAATGATTTCAATTCAAGCCATAGCCTCTGTTGTTAACAGAGAGCAAAACTTAATTGAATATCAAACTGTAAGTATTTTTCTTTTTTACATAAAAAACCAACTACTACTACTACTACTACTACTACTACTACTACTACTACTACTACTACTACTACTACTACTACTACTACTACTACTACTACTACTACTACTACTACTACTACTACTACTACTACTACTACTACTACTACTACTACTACTACTACTACTACTACTACTACTACTATTACTACTACTACTATTACTATAATCATTACAGATGCACCCTTGTGTTGCAAGATTTGAATAAGAGGCAAGAGGTCTCTAAAAATGATATTTTTTTTATAAGTGCTGCAAAATAAATACTTTTTTTTTCTAATAATTTTTATTTTGAAAATTTGTTCTGCTTTATTTTTCTCACAAGTTTCTTCTATTTAATAAAGTTTTCAAGTTCTACTCTTTTACTAAATAAATAAAAAAACGTTTTTTTTTATTATTGAATTATACATAAATAATTGTTTACTTAATTGTCTTGGTTTGCGTAGATGAGACACACTTTTTTTGTGATGCTTATAAATAAAAAAACCTCAACATTTTCTATAAGTGTAAAGTGACTATTTTGTGAACTTCAAACAACCATATTTAGCTATAATTAATCTCATTTTAACTAAAAGGTATCTTAATTTATGCAACCCTATTTATTTTGCAAAACTTTTTAAATTTTTTCTGTGCTTGACCAGGCATGCCTGATCTTGCAATGTTTTGGATCTTGTTTGTGGTATTTAGCAGTTTGCTGATTTTATTTGAGAAAGCGTTTTCAGTTTACCTTGCAACTTGGCTCTAACATTCCATCCACAGCAGTAAGTTAACAAAAACATGATAAAGTTTTGTTTTTCCAAAATTTAGTTCTAAAACTTAATTTTTTTAATAATATATGCAAAAAAATATTAAATGTTACGTTTTTACATTAAAGTTTTGAATAGCGATGCTTCGTTTAAGCACATTTTTATTTTAAATTTGTGTAACATAAAACTACATGCATTTACCATTTTTTTGTTAACAAAATGAATTCCATCATAAAGTAATTCACATTGGTAATATGGTAATGACAAGGTTCTAATTGAAACTTTTTATATTAGGAGAATTTTGAAAAAAAATCATTATTTTTTTTTAATGTTAAATAAAATTATTTATTATTATTTTTTGCTTATTCATGTATTCTTATTTTGGTTGACATAAAAATTTACATAAATAAATAAAAATTAGAATTTTGTAAATATTTTTATTTAGACATTTAAAAAAAAAAAAAGATTTGCTTTCTCCTTATATAGTTAGAACCCATTTTATTTTTTTTTAAGTAAAAAAAAATATTTTCTACAATTAATGGAAGTCATCCACAAAGCATGTCACCCTATATTTGTCAATTCTTAACCCATTCCCTCCTGTCACAAACGGTCACTTATACCTGAACCCCTCTCCCTCCTAAACTGTGATAGCATTTTTTACATCAAAAATATTTTTAAAAGATTTAAATGTAAATACTTTGCAGCATTTTAAAAATTGAACCTAATTAAAAGAAGGCAATACCCATAAACATAAGAAAGTAGGTAAAAACTTCAACAAACTAAAGATTTTTTTATTAATCGTCTCTAATAAGTATTATTATAGTTGTCAAACTTAAGAAATTTTTTAAAGTTGCTTGTGGTCATGCAAATAAGACCGTTATCTATTTGATAACTTTCATAAATGTTATGAAAAATCATTCAGGAAAAGTGCCACCAGTTTTTTAAAATCACTCAGGAAGAGGGGCCACCAGTTTTTCAAAACTGCCTTTGATTATTACTTTTAATTAATACTTTTGCAATTCTTTTGTTATGTAACTCTAAAAAATCTAATTCCTAATAATAGATATAAAAAGTCTACAATAATAATCGCAAGGTAATGTAAGTTAAATATATAATATCAAAAAAAAACAATTTTTTTTTTGGCAAGTTTGAGTTTTCTTCTAAATTTTTTATTTGAGAATTTGATTATCTTTCTTTTGCAGTAGATTTATGAGATTATTGATAAATGTGCACAGATATGTAAATTTTAATATCTATTTATTGGTAGACCTAAAAACTGCCTTAAAAAGTGCCACCCTGCATTATTTTTTGTTTAATAAAGGCAAATAGATAACAATATTTACAACCTTTACTAAGATGTTTGCTTGAAGCATGCACAAATGAGTCAATTAACCAGTAGATAACTCCATCTCCTTTATTATCATTTTGTTTGACTTTTTCTTTTAGTTTTTAGTTGTCTCAAAACATTTATTTTAGTTATTTTCAAAATAGAGGTAACAACTTGCAACTGTGTTATCCATGAAGTGTTTTTTTGGGTAATAATAATGTATATATAAATATATATAAATTATTAAAATTTTAATTAACCAACTCACTTGTTTTTGTTAACATTAAAAATTAACTAATTCACTTATTTTTGTTTGCTATAAATTTTTTTAAATTATGACAAGTGACTACTTGCCCAAGCTATATTGAATATATATATATATATATATATATATATATATATATATATATATATATATATATATATATATATATATATATATATATATATATATATATATATATATATATATATATATATATATATATATATAGGATAATCAAATTTTAACTATTGAAAATTTTATAAACAAAAACATACTTAAGACAAACAAGATAATTTAATTTTTGATGAATATTGGAAGGTTCATCAATTAAGTTACAATAAACAACCAGTAATACAGGTTATTAGTAAATAAATTAATAATAACAATTAAATTATCTAAAAAATGTAGTAAAATAAAAATTTATATATTTAAAAAAAAAAAACAAGGAAGGCTCAAGAACTTGTTAACAACATAGAGGTGTATATATATATATATATATATATATATATATATATATATATATATACTATATATATATATATATATATATATATATATATATATATATATATATATATATATATATATATATATATAGCTATACTATATAGCTATATGTTATCCTACATATATATATATATATATATATATATATATATATATATATATATATATATATATATATATATATATATACATATATATATATGTATATATATATATATATAAATATATATATATATATATATATATATATATATATATATATATATATATATATATATATATATATATATATATATTCAATATAGCTTGGGCAAGTAGTCACTTGTCATAATTTAAAAAAATGTATGTATGAAGCCCCATGCAGCTGGCTATCCGATGGCTGTTTGATGCCAGAGATATTATCTAAACACATAGTTATAGTTTTTCACATTTATTTTATATTTTATGACACTTGTGATGTATATTTTGCAGGTATTAATAATACCTTTATGAATTAAAAGTCAAACCATTATGAATAAATTAGTTAAAAAAAATTTTTTTTCAACATTTATTACTGGATGAAATTTCAAGTGTTTGATTTATTTAATAAAGAAGATATTTTATATGTCACAGTAAAAATTTTATCATAAAAAAAGTTCAACTTCTACCATTTAAAGAAGTTGGATTATTTTTGTATTTTTTAGATTCTATGTCTGCAAGCATTCAAATGGGTCATCCCAACTAACTAATTAATAGGTTTAACAGCTTCAGTATACTTAGTCCAATGGTCAGTTATAAATACTTTAACATACTAGTTATTAATAATTTTAACATACTGAGCCATCTTACACAAAAATAATTTGATAATTATTTTTATTATTACATTGAATCAATCTAATAATAAAATCAATGATTGATAATTTAGATTGCAGTAAAATATTAAGAGAGCGCATTATTTAAATGTTAATATTTTGTTATTTAAAAAAAATATATATTAATTCACAAGAACCCCTTGAAGTTGACTTCTTGTGAGGTAACATTCTAGGATTTCTAGAAGATTAAGATATATACCTATTTTATTTATTTTTATAACTTAAATAAATGTAATAATAATATCAAAACTTTTTTTAGATTTGTAAAATAATACCATTTTTTTAAAATTTGCAATTAATTAATAAATTATACAACAAGTTTTAAAACCTATACCAAAAAAACACATCAATAAAAACATTGGCTGAATATTGACTCAATGAGGTTGGAGCTATGACATTAGTTTTAGTTCAGTTTAGTTTTTTCTAAAATGAAAATAAAGTCATTAATGAAGTGGGGTAGCATCAGGATCCTCAGTTCTAACAGTCTTGAGCTGCACACTTGAAGCAGTTGGCACTTTGCGCATTGATGGTCATTTGCGGCAGAGCGTTCCAGTGATGTACAATTTGATTTGTAAAAAACTGTTCTCTTTCAATAAAATGGTTTACTCTTTGTTTATCACAGCACTGACTGTGACCATAAAGATTGTAAATCAATTTAGCTAAGTCTTGTATTGTCTCAGTACACCGACTGTTGAATGCTTTTTTCAGCTTACCAAGTACTTGTAAGAACAGATTTATATAACAATTTTTATTCCGCTGAATACTACATTGGCCAAATGTTGGCCCTACATAGATTAATTGTTATTAAAAAACTGATTTGAAAAATACAGTTTTTTTCAGTGTTAAGGCATATTAGATTAGCATTTAACCATTAAACTATATCATATAGATCCAAATTTAAGTTTTTACATAAAGAGTGATACAATTTGTATCATTTATATCAAGAGATTAGTATCATTAGCAAACAGATGAACTGATGAGAAGTTAACAGAGTTGGTTAGGCGCTAACATGGATTAAAAACAAAAGAGAACCAAGAACAGAACCTTGACAAATACCACACAAAAGTGATTTATCACTAGAATTAAAACCATTAATACTTACAAATTGTTTTTGATCTGAAAGATAAGATCAAAACCATTCCTTTACAATACCATAAACTCAATAATATTCTTATTTAGAAATCAAAATACTATGGTTAATGTTATCAAAAACGTTTTGTAAATCCATAAAAACACCACAAATGAAATGACCAGTATCAAGAGCTTTTTTGCTTTTTTCTGTTATACTTATTGAAGCATAGCAAGTAGAATGTTTTTATTAAAAACCAAATTGAAAATCGAATAAACAATTAAATGAGTTTAGAAAAGACTACACTTAATAATACAAAAGTTTTTTGAAAAGAATTATGTAAGATAATAAAGAAATAGGTCTATAGTATGTGTATGAAAGTTTAGAGCCATTTTTAAATATTGGAATAACGCAAGATAGTTTCAAAATATCAGGAAATGTTCCATTTACAAATGAGGTATTTAATAGTTTAGAAAGAATATTTGAAAATTTATAGTTAAAATCTATAAGAATATTTGTGAAAATGCTGTTTGGACCTAATGATTTTTTTCGATTCAATTTAGATTTAAGAAATAAAATTTCGGGAATATTTGTTAGAGATTATAATAAATCATGTAAATTTGGATATTTTTGATAGTAAACTTAACACAAATGAATATTGGATTTGAGTTATTGAGCAACATTTGTAAAAAAAGTGTTAAATGATTCAGAGATTAAAGTAGTTTTAAGTTTCATTTTCTTGCAAACGGTTGAGGAATAATTTATGAAAATTTTTGACATTTATTAGATTGTTAATGTCTTTCTAATGTTCTTAAAGATTTTTCACACTTTTTGCCAAAAAAAATTTTAATGATTTTTTTACCAAGTAAAAAAATCATTAAAATTTTTAATATAGTTATCATATATTTCTCATAAAAATACTATATTAATATTAAAAATATTTATATTAATATAATCTTTAGAGCTTAAATTTTTTCAAACATTTTTTGTTAGAAAAGATTGTGCACTTAAACAGATTTTTTAATTCTTTTTGTTATTTTTTTAATTCTTTTTTAATTCTTTTTTTCCATGGTTACTATTATACCTATTAAATTTTTAATTCCCAATATAACCTCAAATGATTTCACAAGTAAAGCCTGTGGCATTAGGGCTCAGCGAGCTCTTAAGCTACAAAAAACAGGTTCAAATTGCAATGTAAGGGCACGCAAAGCAATATGAGGGCTTATCAAGTAGCACCAAGGTTCATAAAATGCAGATTAAGGGCTTGCAAAAACTACTGCTACTACTACTACTACTACTACTACTACTACTACTACTACTACTACTACTACTATTAATACTGCTACTTCTACTACTACAACTAAGTAAAATAAAAATAATCCATCACAATTTTTTATACAGCTTCGTAATGAAATGATAGGAATGCTTGCAAGTGTCACTTTTTCTAATTTGAATGATGTTAAGCTTGTTAGTGACTGTCTTTCAGCATTATCAAATTATCCATCAGAATTGGTTTTAAATACTCAGGTAAAATGAATCATATTCTGAATTTGTTACATATTATCTTTTCAATTTATTTCTAGGTGAGAAATGTGTTATTTTATTAATATGTTAATTTACAAAGGTTGTTGCTGCAAATATTGCAAGGAATATTGGAGAATTTCTTTGTGAAGTAAATATCAAGTCTTTAAGTTTTGTTTCATTTTATAATACAACTCAATCATTGCTTCAATTTGTTTCAAATATTTTTGTTGCGAATGCAAATGTTGTAAATGACTCCATCAGTAAGTTTTATACTTTTAAAATATATTTTCAATAAATTTGTTGTGATGTACCTGAATGCATGGATATAACTAAATTTGCTTAACATAACGACTTAATTATTGAGAGAAAATGCAAAGGGAGCAACACCTTTAGTTTTTAAATGTAAAATTTTGATAAAACATAAAGAAAAGGATATTATAGTAATAATTTTTCTTAAGGGGTAAACAGGTTCTATCTTTTGACAAGCTTTATACCCCTTCTTCATCTATTAGGCTGACATGGATGTATTTATAATACATTGTTTACAGTTTAGAATGTTGAATGCTGGATCTTCTTGACTTAATGTTTGGGTTTTGCTTGTTTCTCTGTTTTTGTGACTTGGCAACTCATTCTATTATCTCCTAATAAAGTTACAGCTCTAAAACTCAGTTTTATGGTTCTGAAACCGGCTGGTAGTCAGGTTTCCCAAACTCTGTAATAGCTCTCAGAGAGGCTGATTCCATCAACAGCTGAAAAAAATCAAAGTATTAACAGTGCCATGTTGTGCATGGATGCTTTCCCTGCTTTTCCTTTTGTTGCATTTTTGTTGCATTTTGTTTGCAATTTTGTTGTGCATTGTAAAGGTCGCATCTGAAACCCTTTGTTACAGCTTAGGGTTTATTAATAATAATGGGGCAATTGCTTGGACTATTAAATAGTGTACTGAGTAATATCTGTGCTTTGATTCAAGTTCTTTAACAAATTTAAAAATGATTAAAGTACCAAAAACTATAAATATAAAGTACCATTTTCATCACCAAGTTCTTTAAATCTATCATTCAATAATATTCGTAATTTTCGAAGTAACTTTTCTTCCGTTGAGTCTTATCTCCTGCAAATTTAACGAAACCTACCTGCTCCTTGTGAGACTATTTTGAGTTCAGCTGTCTCATCTTGTGATCTTAGTGTTTATGTTATCTTCCTTTAATTTTTAAAGATTCCAATAGTCACATGCTTAGCCTGGGCATTTACATTCATAAGAATTTACCCATTTTTCAGGAAAATAGGTTTGAATCCACAGACTATTTTTTATGTGCTTTTGTTTAGCACCACTTCACTCTTTCACCTTTCGTTTTGTTCTATATTGCTCTCCTTTATCTTAAGACTGCATTCTTTTTGATGTTATTTCTGATTATATTTTCAATGTTAGTTTTGATAAAATTGACCAATCTCTTTCTCTTTATCCTTCGGCCTGTATTATTGTTGTTGGCGACTTTAATGCTCATCACAATGAATGGCTTGGCTTTAATGTCAGTGACTTTGCAGGCGTTATAGCCCACAACTTTTGCCTTTTTCAATCTCTAACACAAATAGTCAACTTTCCAATTGACTTTTCAGACAATCCAAATAATTTAACCTTCTCAACTCACATATGTCTTGTTTCTGATCCTAATTAATGCTCAGTTTCTAAACTTTTACCTTTAGATGCTTCTGATCACAGTTTGATCTCTCTAAAACTAAGGGGTGTTCACTTGAAATCCGGACTGACTTTAAAGGGTCATAACTCCCTTATTTTTTATCAACTTAAAAAAATTAAATATGATTTAAAATCAGCATTTAATTCTCTATAATATGATACTTTATTTATTTTCAATTAAATTTTTTCTTCTTATAGAATCAATTCTTGATAAAATACCCTTTGCAAACTCTTGTACAAGATTGATATTA